TATGTGTACTGCATTTTTGCAGAACTGAGAATGACTGCCTAGAGATATAGTTAGTCTTGTGTCAGGAGACCAAGAAACTGCTATGGTACTGTATACTGTAATGAAATTTGGCCAAATGTGCAGAGAATGCTAAATTAACTTTTTTTAATTTTATTTTTTTACTGTACTGTATTGTGGTGCATGCCAAGTTCATACAATTATTTGGCATTTGAACTTTTTTAGTGCTTTTCATCTACTGCAAGATTACTTTACAGTAGTAAAATGAAAAATTGCTGAATTATACATCTGTAATTTAATTTACTGTAATAGACATTGAGATGCAAATATAATTCCTGAATCCTAGTAAGAGTTTTTTGTTACAGTTTATTGATCTTTATTGAAAGTCATCTGTGTATTTGAATTGTAAGCATTTACAGTTTTTTTCCAACTGCTTACACAAACCTGACACTCAAACAGCAGAAGCACACACCAAATCTGCAAAACCATACACTAATTCTCGGCCTTTGACTCAGTTTTCAATTTCATAAAACACTTTTTTGCAAAACACAACACACAATTCTCTATGTAACACAAAAATTTTACAGGAATTAATAATATTATGGCAAAGGTGTTTGCAAATGTTTGCTTTTGAGATGTGTTTGTGATATTTTGAATGCAGTGCTTCATTTTGCAAGAGATGTGAGGCATTTTGCATTTTGTGTGTGCAATTCTTGGATTTGTGTGTAAAGTTTTGAAAAAAAGAGGCAAAGTTTTGAAAATGTGTGTAAGCAGTTGAAAAAAACCTGTAAGAAAAACTGTAATAACTAGATTGAAAAGTTTGAAAGACAAATTTATGCTGGCTTGTCTTAAAGTCTTGTTTAAAAAACGTAAATGGTTTGGTCAGTTAGATGTTCTAGATGTTTGCTAAAGTGTTGCTAGTTGGTTGCTAGGATATTCTGGGTGGTTGCTAGGCTCTTGCTATGCAGTTGCTGGGGTGTTGCTAGGGTATATGTTGATAGAGTTTGTTCTGGGTTATTACAGACATTACCCACCTCTCTTAATAACAGAAAATCAAACATTGTTTTCAAAACTGATCCAGTTTTCAATGCTTTGATATTATTGTATTTCTTTCTAATGTTAGGAAATTCAAAAGTTTTTGTTGCTCTTAAACTTGCACTAAACG